TGGGACACTGGTACCATCTGGAATGTAATGCTGCCCTCCTCTGTGGGGAAAGAAGAAGATTAAAGAGCCAACAGAATGTAGAAATTGACCCTTCACTCAGCAATCCAGATCCTTTTGTTTATACATCTCTGAGAGATAAATCTAACACCCAAACTTATAACTGGATCTGTAATTATCTATGCCAACAATCTCCTCCATTCACAAGGATAACCAAGGTCTAACTCTAGTTTGTTTTCATATTTTTGAGCAGAAAATTAGTTTGTTCCCCAGGTCCCTTGGAGAACCTATGGCAGATTCTCTACAAAAACCTGTTCTCTTTTGTAAAGTGAAGCCAACTTCTTTAGATCATACATTTTTTTTCTTTGTTTCTAGGAAAAAAACTTATTCCAAGAGGTATGGAATGAAAAAACATCTAAACTATATAATGTAAAGAATACCTTAGGTTCAAATAAATTTAATGTTTAGAGTTTACAAATTTAGATTCATTTTCCCAAAATGAGGTCACTAAAAATATCAAAAATACATCATCTATATATAAATCCTAAGAGTCCATGAGTAAAATTTGCTATATAACATATTCTCCCAAGATCTCTTAAATCAAATCTTCTATGATTAAATAGCAACACTCAAAATGGCTTAAAACATTCAAATTTCATAATGATATATTTAGACCTCATATTGATTCTCTATATCCAAAGCCCATAAAGAATTTATTTCTTTTCCTGCAGGCAGAATTCACAGCCATGCGGGAGCAGTACATGCGAGGTGGGGAGGGCTTCATCATCTGCTACTCCGTCACTGACCGCCAATCATTTCAGGAGGCTGCCAAGTTTAAAGAGCTCATTTTTCAGGTCCGCCACACCTATGAAATTCCTCTGGTGTTGGTGGGTAACAAAATTGACCTGGAACAGTTCCGCCAGGTGAGTGCCAATTTTTATCTGTTAGCTTCTGTCTTTTCCCCGAGGACACGTGGTACAAAATATGGCTGCTTTCCAAGGTTCACATTGAGAATTATTAGAAAGAAATGATGCACATGATTTTTCTAAGAAATCACTGTAGTCTTGTAGTGGATCATGTTGGCTACCAAAATCTTCCTCATCCCACATGCTATTTTGCAGTGTCCTTACCACTCCTCCATGCCCTAGGATCTGGGCTCATACGAGTATAGTGGAAGTGATTCTGTATAACTTCTGAGGTTGGGTCTTAAGAGTTCTGTAGCTTCTGTCTTCGCATTTGAATTGTTTACTCATGGGTTCCAGTAAAGAAGCCCACACTAACCATATGGAGAGAGTCACATTGACAAAGTGAGACCCAGGCTTGCAGTCGTCCTTGCCAAGACACCACATTTTGCATATTCTAACACTAGCCACCATCACCTGTGACTTCGTAAGAACCCAAGCCAAGCCAAATGCAACAGAAAAATCTCCCATCTGAGCCTTGTCTGTATTTCTGACCTACAGAATTAATGGCAAATAAAATGAAATTGTTTAAGCCACCATGTTTTGGAGTAATTTTTCATGCAGTAGATAATCAAAACAGGATTCTTCTCTCCTTTCAGAATTAGAACAAGCCACTACTTCTCAGGTTGAATCAGAAATTATTCTTATATACCATCAATCTTCTCCAACCTGCCCCTGCTAATATCACTTTGATACACAGACAATTTCACAACTCCTGCAAACAAACAAAATCGATAAGGCGAAAAAACTATGTCTAGCTTAGATTGTGATTCATTACCAGAATTCACGTAGTTCATTATATTTTATTCTTGTCTATCAGACACTGCTTCTTGGGCAGCACCTGATAGGCAAACTATGATGGCTTCCTCCCTGAGATCTCCACATGGTGATGATACGTCAGCTGTCCTGGTTGAGGGACCATGGAAATCGTTTCACAATTCCATTGCCCTGACTCACTTTGCACAAAGTAACATTACCAAGAAGTTGCATGCAAATCAAATTTTTATAAATCTAATTCTCTAAATCAAGTTGTTTAGTTGTAATTTGAGATGCATCATCTTTATTTGTGCTGACCTTAAATTTGAGCTGGTTTTTAATATTAACAGTTCATGTTATTCCAGTTAATGATTTATTTTTAAGCTACTTAGTCTGCTAGTAAAACCTTTTGTTAAGGTAGGAATCTTCTCTAAAGCAAATCGTTTTCTCCTGTTTTTAGTGTTTTATAAATTTGAATTTTCATGTCTAACATAGTTTAAGTTTTCTTAAAGTGAAAAGATCTCATATAGAGCCAATGTTTATAAATTTATGCTTAACAGGGAAACATATTCCTATGATTTAGTGCAATGCATTTTCGTGGTGACATTTTTGGATATTTTACTTGAGAGTCTAAGCATCTTAAAGTGGCAGCTAACTATTACTTTAGGAGCTATAATCTTTGTTTGTCTCCTCTGCACCTGTTCTGCTATATTGCTTTGCTGTTTTCCTTTATCCAATGAAATGTTTAGTTATGATATGGTTGCATAGAATTCACGTTTATCTTACCAATTGAATATAAAGCTATTCTCAGATACTTGGCAGAAAGTAAAAAAGAGAGAGAGAGGCTTAGTCGTTGAATCTTTGAGATCTTCTGAAGAATGGGACAGCTTTATTTTTCTTAGGGCTTCTAGGAGGTAGTACGACAGAGCATCCTAAGAAGTGTACCATGGATGACGACATGACCACTTATGTTACAAGTCTAAGAATTCCTGGAGAACAAAAACCTCTGATTGGGTTCCAGTCAGGAGAGTTGTAAGTGACTCTGAAAAAGCTAGTGAATTTCAGAGCATTTGGGAAACTTTTTCAGGCCAAAGTTAACCGTATTCTCTCTAGAATGACTGCTCTTCATGAGTCCAAACCTGGCTGATATTTGCTCTCCGGTATCCCCAGGCCTTGCTGCCCTAGGTTCAAAAGGTGGTCCTTAGGATCTCATAAACGGATGTTCATCAGGACCCCTCCCAGCCTGGTTAATTAGCTGCTCTTTTCAGATTAGCAGTTAAGTGAATCACAAGCATCACAAACGTCCCTGAAGCAAATACCCAAAAAGGACATTAAGCTGAGCAATTTTGCAGATTTTACAGACTTTTCCTCAATGATAAATGCAAGTACTGTAAACATGATAGTCACAGAATGTGCAAAAACCATGAAAACACAAATTATAATCTTTGTATAAAAGCTCATGTACTAGTGTCTCCAATAATGAAGTGTTGATGTGCAAATTTGGCTTCTGGCTGTGGTGTTTGTGATGGAAATAATTATTCCCAAAACTGCAGAGTGGATTTTCCTTTGCAAAATGATTTAAATTCACACTTTATTTTAATGTTATAACT